TAATGATTACTAGCGGGATAGGTAAAGGAAATTGGACAACATTGTTAGCTTACAAAGGACCAGGGGTGAAATGCTCCCGGTTCGTACCGGATCACCCGATTCAGTAGCGATGGTGGCGGGTGGTTCGGAGAACCGGTAGCAAAAATCCCTGCCCCCCCCCCCCCATAGCTTGAGCCGCGCAATCATCAGAGGCTTTTTTTTTTACTTTAAAAGCAAAAAGTAAAAAAGTCAGAGCCTTTTAAAAGCATTTTTTCTACAACCTGTTCGAGAGGTTGTAGAAAAACAATGCTTTTAAAAGGTTAAAAAAAAGCCTCTGACGATCACAGCTGAGCAACGCGATCGTCAAGGGCTTTTTTTTTACTTTTAAAAGCAATGCTTTTAAAAGTAAAAAAAAAAAAAGATTGTGCGCCACAGCTGATTATCCCCCATGCTGTTCTACTTACCACATGCCTCCTTTTGGCGTGCACTGCGTGCGCGCACCTTACATTTGGTGCATGATGCGCACTGTGCATGCGCAGCCAGTAGTAAACCAGTTCATATTTCACCACTGCAAAGGACACATCCATCAGCCAGCTATCCAACATGGTACTTGGCACATCCAGATAGCACGCATTTGATCTCCTAAGGAGGTACAGTGGCTAGGCAAGCCAACTCATCAAAACAGCTGCTGTCAGCATGTCTTAAGAGTCAGTGGCAGAAGCAAGATGGTAAAAATATGAGCCAGGCCTCATTGATAGAGACAAGTAAAAAAAAAAAAAAGGCGGGGGGGAATGGGAAAAGGCAACTTGCTAGTAATTTGGGAATGAAAACAACGTAAATGATTATGATGGCATCTCATATGTTTCTTAAGAACATATTTTCCCCGTGTTAAAAATAGCTGGTGAATGTGACAGGTAATTATTGTTTGGTGATCAAAATTTGGGACTGGCAACTCTGTTGTAAAACAAAGCGGTTGCTAACTGAAACATCACATTTTATAATTTGACATCATATTTCCTTTTTTTTTTTTTTTACAGATCTATGAAGGTACTAAATATGAGGACTGATTGCAATATTACTCTTACATTGGCATCAGAACTGTGAATGTTGCTAAACAAGGACTGCCTATGCTGACATTTGAGGAGATCAGGCGAGCTAAGGGACTATCATTCTGTAACTGAAACAGAATTTCCCATTAATACTCAGGAATGAGTCTTAAGGAGGTAGACTGTGATCATCTTCAGAACAATGTAGAAGCCCACATGAACTTGTTAAAAATGAATATTTAGACCTAATTTAGGTCTTTCTGTTGTTGTTGGTTGGTTCCTACCATAATGATTTCTAAAAATGCTTTGGGTATAACTTGCTTTGATTTCAGTAGTTTTGACAAAACTCTCCATGATCACTAAATTGGTCGAATGAAGATAATAATACTGTCAAATGAATTTGCAGCTGGACGGAAAAGTGAATTTGAGATATGTTCATTGATGATCTGTCATCAAACTGGAGCTTTAAATGGGTGAGGAAGATGACAGGGGTCTCTGTCTGTGGTCTTGATATTTGTTTTTCAATTAGTGACTTAAATGGAGAGAGGGGAAACCTTATTAGATTTACAAATGAGTTATAGAAGGGAGCATAGCTGGTAAGTCAGAAGATTGGTAAAATTCAGAATCAGTCTGATAAAAGACAAGCTGCACTGCTCAAAATGAAGGAATTTCAAAAAAAATGGAAAATCTAAATGTACTTCAAAGGGCGAAATCAAATGCTAAGTCAAGTTAGGGATGATGTTTAACTCGGAAGCAGCATGTGTGAAAAGGATCTGAAGGCTCATGTATCATCAATATGTCAGAATATTCATGACTGGGAAGACATGGTAACAAGGTCAGCCAATGAATAGGCATAGCAACTAAGTCAGCCAATTGGGAGCTGAAACAGCCTGGAGTTGGGAGTGCCTTAGTCTGCAGCTTCTGATTCTGTGCAGAGAAAAGAGAAACTGAAACCAGTGTGTGTGAACTTGTCTGCTGATCTGACCTGAAACGAAACTGTGAATCTGCTGTTGGTATCGTAAACTTACTTCATGTATTATTATGAATATAAAGAAGTTAATGAATCCTATTGCATCAGTTTATCTGTGTGTGCTTCTGGATTTGTTTTTTGCAACAAACTCTGACACAATATGATATCTGTCAGCACTAGGATAAATGCATCTTATTTGAAGACAGCCTGAAAACCTGACAATATCATCATGATCATTGTTATCATCATCTTAACAAAACTATAATGTGTGTCTGATTCTAGTAAAAGATGCATTTGGTTTATGGGGTTACAGATGAATGTTACATGATCACTCCTGCCTATTCCAAAGACCTTTCGTCTTGAAGCACTATAACAGCTCTAGCCTTTATGTGTTAAAAAGTAATGCTTCCACTTTATTCTATGGCAGGGGTTGGCAACCTTCTTTCTCATAGGGGCCATAGGCTTCTCTCTGAGTGGATGACAGGCCACAGATGTGAGAGATGATGCCCATGGAGAGGAAGCTATGGACTATGGTCCATAAACACATATATATTTATATATGGTGTGATGGACTATGGTGAACTGGCAGTTTTCCAGGAAGGAGGGAGCACATTCCAGAAAGAAGTGATGGGGGCAGACAAGAGGAAGCACAGTCCAGAATTGCTAGCAGATAAAGAGAGTAAGGGGTAGCCATCCAGGGCTAATTTCCCAGGGTATATCCATTAGGGTGAGAGTAGTAAGGGTTTAGTCCAGCAAGATTCTGTCTATTACATGTAAGTAAATAAAGTTCTGAACTCTGTCTTAATTGGTCTTCATTATCCTTGGGCTTAATCTGACACATTTATTTTTATAGCTAATGAATGAAAATAATAATAAAATAATACACTATGAATTATGTCTATTTTATTTAAGTAGTATTATATCTATCTAAGGACACAATATGTGTGATTGGATGCTATTTATTGCTTGAAAGTCTCGCTTTCTTTTGGCTTGCCTGGGTCTCATTGAGTGAAGAGGAATTGTCTTGGTCTGCATATAAAATACAATAATATAGTTATGGTATAAAAATAACAAACTTCCTTTATTTTAAAAAATTTTTAATATGAGCTTCTAGGTCTGCTTTACCAGCTGTTCAGGGCCACATGCAGCCCATGGGCAACGGGTTGTACACGTTTTATCTAAAACAATAATTAAAAAGTGTATAGAAGCAACATAGGCCACAAATCTTTTAAAATAAAAATTCAACATGCTTTTTAAAATTATTTCTATTTTAATTATTTATTTATTTATAAACACGTGTATATTTAAATATGGGCTTGCAACATGATTCAGATTATCACAATGCATTAAAATAGCGAAGCTCTGCATCAAGCCTGAAATAGATTTACCGACTTGAATGAATTATTTTTTAAGACTACGATTGGCAAGGATGAGATGATATTTCTTTTGGGAACTATGGGCTGGATGATTTGGTGGTCAAGCCATAGGCTGCTGACCTCTATTTAAGAAGGATATGTAGATAAGTTGGAACATGATGCTAATGAGGTAGGAGTTCAGAAGAAAAGTCTGAGTGGATTGAAGGAAATGGGCACACTTATCTTGGAAGATGGTATACTAAAGACAGCAAATATTTGTAATGCTAGAAGACAAGGGTAGATTTAACAGGCTTAAGTCAGGTGAATGGCTTTTCTTTTTAAAAAAAATATACAATAGAAATTAATACACACTAAAAAAAGAAAAGGGAAAGAAAAGAAAGAAAAAAGAAACAAAAATATAAAAATAATATAAAGAATGTAAAGAAAAAGAAAAATATATATTTTTATTTATTTTATTTTATTCAATTTATATACCGCCCTATTCCCGAAGGACTCAGGGCAGTGAACAGGCACAAGATAAAAATACATCATACACAAGTTAAAAAACCAATTAAAAGTACATTAAATAATTTTGGCCCAAAAAACGAATTAAAAAACACCCAATTTATATAAAACTAAAAGCAAATTAAAAGGGAGAATCAAGCCAGTCCAGCCTGCTGGAATAAAAATGTTTTGAGGGTGTGGCGGAAAGTGCGTAAATATGGGATCCTCCGTATCTCTGGGGGGAGCTCATTCCAGATGGCAGGTGCCCCCACAGAGAAGGCTCTCCCCCTGGGGGCCACCAGTCGACACTGTTTGGCCGACGGCACCCTGAGGAGCCCCTCTCTATGGGAGCATACTGGTCGGTGAGAGACTACTGGTGGCAGAAAGCGATCTCGTAAGTATCCTGGTCCTAAGACATGGAGCGCTCTAAAGGTGGTGACCAAAACCTTATTTCCCTTTTCATCACAACAAACATTTTTAGTAACTTATCACCTTTTTAAAAAATACAACAAATGATCTCTTCTTTCTGTAGCCCATCTCTTATCTATAAACAAATCCATAAATTCTCATCATTTCAGTCTATTAAGGGTTACCAGAGATACCTATTTTAGCAATAATCAAATAAACCAATTTTATATTCCTTCCTTCTATTTTTAACAATCTAGATCTTTAGTCCTTTCAAATAATGTCATAAATCCTGTCATATTTTCCTGTCCCTTCTCACTAAATCCTTCAAAATTTTAATAAACTTCTTGTGAATCCCATATGGGGAAGTTATCCAGGTCACTCTTTTGGTTTGTTCTAGGATATGATTCCTTCACCAGACTTCCTCCAGGTCTGTAACTTTGTGAGCCTAACCTGTAAAAAATACTTCTGGGGATCAAAGGATTTCCACGTTCAAATAACTTATTTTGTAGGATAACCTGCCATGGCCTTATTTTTCTCTCCCTTACATAAGAAAAATACCACCTTCTAAAAGGTCTGTTCCAGCCAGTCTCATAGTGGAACATGATGAATCAGATCTGTACAGAAAATGGGACTTTCTCCACCCTTTCAAAACTAGTGCAATCAGTTTAAAGGTGGGTAAATGGGTTGAAGCACTGACCTCAGTAAAGAAATTGAATTTGATCTTTGAAGTGAGGGTATTTGTGCCCAGGGAGGGGCAGAATTCAGCAAAGTTGGAAAGCCTGCCTTTGAACACATTTTAAAGAGAAACATTACATTATGTGTGTGTGAACAGTCATTTCCTTCTTAGCCTTATTATTGCCCTTAGGAAGGACCGCCACATCAAAGCCATCTCTTTTCTTCCTGCCCACTCCCATTAAAGAGAAAATATTTGGCAGTTCTGTATCAAGTGAGGAGATTGGAACAACAGCCACTGAACAGAATGATATATATTGTCAAGGCTCCAAGTAACAACCCAAGCAAATCAGAACTCTGAGACTTGGCTTTTTCTCAAAGGTCTTCTTTAATGAGTACATCATATGGGCACAGCTTCAATGGAAAACCAAATCTAAATCTTTCCTGCGTTTTCAGTATAATTAAACTAGGAAATAACCCCATCCCCAAGTGTTACAGGTCATGTTGGCCAATTGGATTAATTGGCGGGCTCTTCAGGCACTCCTTCCCCAACCTTATCTGTTGCTAGTAGAGACGACCTTGCTTCTTAGGAGAAAGTTCTTTGTTGTGTCTAGTAATGCATTCCAACCTCCTTCCCCCTCTTCTCCCTCTGTGTGGCAACTGAGGAACAGAAAGATAGCTCAGGCCAGGTTCAGTTCAAAGTTGACACATATATTTTTAGGAGTGCTTCATATTACTATGACCTTTGAGTGGGGTGTGAATGACTGGACCCCAAATGCAACTGGGATATAGAAACCGATGGAGCCAAGACAAAACTAACTTCAGCTGAGTCAACACATTTAATATAATTACTACTATTTTTTGGCAATACCTTTCTTGTTCAATCACATTGAAATATATGATTGAACAGCCAGTTTTGGAGACATCTGGGAGCTGTACCCAAAACTTTGAGGAGTTACATGTAATCCTGGAGTTGGGGCGATGAACTTGTAACTTGTGTGTGTGTGTGTGTGTGTGTGTGTGCGCACGCGCATGTACATGTGTGCATGCAAACATGCAGGTGTGCATGCAATCAAGTCAGTCCATCTGGTTTTTTTTTTTTTAATTGATTTATATGCCGCCCTTCTCCGGAACTCAGGGTGGTTTACAATGGGTTAAGTAATAGCCTTCATACTTTTGTATATTTATACAAATCAGCTTATTGCCCCCACAAACTGGGTCCTCAATTTACCTACCTTAGAAAGGCTGGAAGGCTGAGTCAACCTTGAGCCTGGTGAGATTCGAACTTACAGTAATTGCAGACAGCTGGTGTTAATCACAATGCTATCAGTCTGCTGAGCCACCTGGCACCATTTTCAGAACTGGAATTGTAAGGGAAAGATGTGTATAAAAAGCTACACAATGGTGAAGCTCCCTTTGAGTTGAACTCCATTCCTGGTGATTGCATAAATACATCCTGGCAGCCACGCAGAAGAAGTTGGCCACTGCCTTCTTCTGAGTTACTTTTTGGTTTTTTTTCCAATCTAGTCTAAACTTTTTTTATTAGCCTTTTATCCAAGTATTAAATAAACTTGATCCTATTTAGGGTTTGTTGTTGATGATGTAGCTGCCATCTTTAAAAAAAAAAAAACTTTGGCCTTTCAATGTGACCACAGGATTTCCCCCAAGGGTTCTAAGCCTTCATACTATTGGAAACAATATGCATGGGTATTTCTTAAGAAAAGGGCTTTTTTTTTTCCCATAAGAAAAGAATTTTAAAAGGTTGAGATTGGGACACTTAAGGCAACATTATGTCTGCAAATGGAAGCTCTTAAGATGTCTTGAACTTTTCTTTCACATTTCCTAGCCAACATGGCCAAAGAAATATTGGGCATTAAGTACAAAAATCCCAGGAACCTAGTATTCTCTCTGGTATTCTCTGCACCGAAAAAGAAAATTAAATTTCTTGGCCAAAGAAAATTGAATTCCACAATCTGTATTCAAATTAAGCGCATGTATACATTTACGGAGTTTTGCCTAGTTCACACATCTGACTTTTTTCTGTTGGCATGTTTTGTCTAGTCATGTGTGATATTACCCAGGCAAGAGTGCAAGGTGTGTGCATGCTGTCAGGTAAAGATGCAACAGCACTGATATTCTTTTCAGCCTAGAAGTGCCATACAATTTCCTGGAGTCATTAACACCCAGTTGCTGTAGAATTTCTATCCTGCTGTAGGAAGGGAGGGCAAAGAGGAAAGTGGTTGTCTTATCAAAAGCTGCTACAGAGGGGCGAGAAACAGATTATGAGATGGAGAAAGCAGGCTCAGCCCCTCCCCTTTCATCAGCAGAAGCCACTTGTGAAGAAATAAACAGTAGATTTCCACCAACAAAAGTACAGAAACAGTACAAGAAGTATTACTTATATAAAACTTCTCTATTAAGAATCTTTTAAAAGTCTGAACGTGACTCATAACGGTTGAGAGGGAAAGAGTAAGCTTTGAAGAGCACTCTACTCCTTCTCAATACTCTGCAAAGAAATTGTATAAAGTATGGGTTCCACGTTAAACTGGTGCTACCCTTATTTATTTATTTATTTATTGGTTCGATTTATATGCCGCCCTTCTCCGGAGACTCAGGGCGGCTTACAATGCGTTAAGCAATAACCTTCATACTTTTGTATATACCTACTTAGTAGGGCTTGCGGCCCCCCCAAGCGGTGTTCTTTTTTATACAAAGTCAATTTATTGCCCCCACAATCCGGGTCCTCATTTTACCTACCTCGAAAGGATGGAAGGCTGAGTCAACCTTGAGCCTGGTGAGATTTGAACTTGCAGTAATTGCAGGCAGCTGGTGCTACTTAACAGCACTTTAGTCTGCTGCGCCACCAAGGGTCATAGGAATGCATCAAACAACAGAATGTCTGTCTAAATTCAGGCTTACCATGGTTTGGGTGACATGTAGGGCCACTAGATTTGACCTAGCAAAACTAGAATGACTCTAAATGGCAGCAAAGTGATAAAGAACTCTCTATTGCCATCTAGGGGCAGTCTGAAGCTTTGCAGCCCCGATCTGGCACTCATATTCACATGACCATGTAAAAACTGCTTAAATGATATTTTGCAAATTACAGTTTCCATCTCAGAGTTTTTAAAAGAGCAACCTCACTTTGCAGCAAATACTAAACCTTCAGCATGATTTCACATATACAAGTACATGCTCTCCCCACACGGTAGCTTAAAATCAGCAGTCCTCTGGACTCAAATCTTCTTCCTTTCTCCTAAGAAGAGATCCTTCCAGTCTGACAAATTGCTCAAGTACAGATTGTATCCACCAAGAATCCCATATTTATGCATGTACATTCTAATTACCCATGCTGAGTTATCAATCTACTTAATTACAGCTGCAGTTTACAGAATAAAGTGTATACTGTAGGCTTCGTGATAAATGCATAGTGATGCCATCATGATTGAAAAAAAAGAGCATCATTAAAAAAAAAATCACAATTAGACTTCAGACTAGTTGTCAGAATGCAAGGGGCACCTGCTCTTTTCCACTGTTTTAAATTCAGCAGTAACAGGACAGAGGCATTTTGCATCTTACGGTTAACATCATTAATAGCATTTTTTAAAAAAAAATAACAACAACAGTCTTTTGGATCGTGTGCTAGGAAACGCTGAGAACCCAAGAGGAAAATGTGTTGTAGAATTTAGATGACTACTCTTCTTTTGTTTACAGTCTAGTTAAAGGGTTTATTGATTTATCAATAAATGCCTTTTCTATTTAGTGCAAGGCTGCGGCCCTACTCAATTCGTAGTGGCCACAGCTGTTTTGCCTGGAAAGTGTGAGGTCAAAAAAGTGTTTTCTGGTTAATGTAGGGTCATCCCTTTCTAACCTATAATATCCACTAACTTTTGTTAGAAGTGGCACGATGGTGGAAATGTTGAATAGTTCTAAATGCCAAAATTATCAACAGCTCCTTGTAGGAGTTTATACCTGGCCCAAGAATAGTGAAATAAGAACCCCACCCATTAAAATAATGTGATCATTTCCTTAGAGTTCACCTGTAAGAGAAACGGAAGAGATTTGGATGTTAAACATTGGAACGGTATTTCATTTATAAGAGGATGTCTGTCCATCACTCCCTTTAGTTTTACCTCTCTCTATCGCAGGGGTGTCAAAATTGATTTCATTGAGGGCCGCATAAGGGTTGTATTTGAGGCTGGGTGGGTGTGGCCAGGGTGGGCAAGGCTAGCTCCATGTCACTCACATCGGGGGAACCTGTGGTGACCCTCGGTGCCTCTGCCAGTGAAAACGGAACTCAGGAGGGCCGCTTTTCGCTGACAGAGGTTGCAGGAGCAGCCTCCTGAGCTCCATTTTTGCTGGCAGAGGCACCGCGGGTTGGTCCGTCCCTCTTTTCAGGGCAGCCCCACGGGCCAGATCTAAGAACCCCACAGGCCGGATTTGGCCCACAGGCTGTGAGTTTGACACCCCTGCTCTATCGCAATTGCTCCAATTAGTTACTTTGCTATAGAAGAGGGAAACAGTTAACTTTGAGTCTGATACTTCGCCGTTGCAGCTGGACTGGCAACAGCTAAGGGTGATTCTCTCTCCTTCCACTCTGCACCACGCAGAGGCGAAGAAATACATAGGTTCGTGAATCAATCTGGATAACGTGAAGGGCTGAATATAATAAATAATACAGTAACATCCCTAAACTAATGAGCTGTTGCTAAGGTACATTTCACAGGCTCATCCTCTATATAAAAAGTCACTAATAATCCCTTGGTGTAATCAGATGATAAAGCTTTGCCATAAGGCAACACCTGTGCAATTAAAACTGCAGATTCTTTTGCACGTTTCATTAATTTCAGGATTTTGTAAAGGCACAATGACTGCACTAATAATCTAGTCTACTTGACTCCATGTCTACTGGAAACAGGGTGTCTAATTAGGTAAAGGTAATTAATTAGAGATAAATGGAGCTAATCAGACTCAGTTAACACCAATTCTCTGAAATAAGACATTTTGGGACACCTACTATTATGCTGCCTTTGATATTTTCCCAATAAACAAGGAGTTGCAAAGGTACAAGGAAGCAGTTATTTGATGTCATTACCATGGACAGCAACAATTTGGTAAATGTTTCATTACTACCGTGTAGCCTGACTAGAGTCAGTGGGGCAATGCAAGAAGTTATTAATTCTTCTGTCAATCTCTTGGAAAAGCAGTGGAATTCTGGAATCTGGGTTATTTCCCCCCCAATCCATAGTAATCCTTCATCTTGGATTAGGGTGACTGGGGTCCTTGTTGGATTGTTTCAGGGCATGGGTGTGGTTAGCCATTTATTTTTTTATTATTTATTTCATTTAGGGTTATTGTACTATGATTTCTATCCTATTGATTTTATTGTACAATAACTAGAGTCAATTTGGAGTTGCCTGGTGGCTATATTAAATAAATAGATTAAATTAAACAAAATGAGGAGCAGGGATCAAGAGTCTTAGTTTTATAATTAAAAATCAGATGGGATCTCTGGAATGAGAGCATTATTTGAAACCCATTGTTTTTATACTTTGAAAGTTTTAGCAAGTTCACCTTATTTCCTTTTAGTTTATGGTATTTTGGAATCATATACTGTATATTTAGACTCCAGATCAGCTCTGAATGTTATTCTCCCAAGTCCAGTCTCTTCTCTCTGAAAATCATCCCTCTCTACCATGATCTCTTTCAAGGATCAGAAGTAGGGTGGACCATGGTGCACAGATTGTTTTCCATATCAAATATTAAAATCACTCCCATAAGGAAAAAATGAGTGCTGTTAAAATGAATCACTCAGGATAGGAGGGGTACCATATACGTTTGGGATTCCTAAGATTGAAATGTTTTTATTGTTGTTAGTTGTGAAGTCGTGTCCGACCATCAAGATTCCATAGACAATGTTCCTCCAGGCCTTCCTGCCCTCTACCATCTTCTGGAGTCCATTTAAACTCATGCCTACTGCTTCAGTGACTCCATCCAGCCACCTCATTCTCTGTCATCGCATTCTTCTTTTGCCTTCAATCTTTCCCTGCATTAGGCTCTTCTCCAGTGAGACGTTCCTTCTCATTAGGTGGCCAAAGTATTTAAGTTTCATCTTCAGGATCTGGCCTTCTAAAGAGCAGTCAGGGTTGAAATATAGAATAGGTAAACCCATTTCATAAATAAATTTCCTCATGACAAAAACAATGATCTTTGTGGTTGGCCAACTAAATCCAGAAAGTTTATAAAATGAACTAGCGGTAATGACATTTTCAGCACAATCACAAGGGAGATCTATAAAACCATAATAAGTGGTTAATGGTCATGTCTAGCAATAAAGAACAATAGGAAGAATCCAAAGTAAAGCAGTGCATTATCTAGTAACAATCAGTTGTATTCTTCACATTGCTATTGGTAAAGAAAAAAAGGAGAAAGCTTTCCACTTTGAAAGTAATAAAGACATTTGGGCTTATTAGTTTAATTGGTTGTGTAGTTTAACTTGTTTCATTCTGACAAAATACAGAAGGAAGAAGAGATGGGGAAAAAGGGGAAAGGCAACAAAAATATTTGGGTACCCATTTATCTTAAAACAGTCAGTTCTGATGGAAAGGGAAAACTTAAAATTCCCAGGTTCTATCATCGTTTCTCGAAATGATGGTCCTGCTGTTTTTCTTCACATAGATGTTGGTTGCAATGGCTTCTGACAGGAGGAAAACTGATCCTAGCTGTTCATTTACTTAATTCATTCACTTAATAATAAACCAGATTATGAAAATGAGTTGTTTTTTTCTTCGTCAGGTTGCTAAAAATTCAGTAATAGAATTTTGATTGCATCATTGTCATCATTGCATGGTAAATAGGCTTTAGAGAGAAACAAGGGGCCTTTCAATCTGCTGAAATGCTTTGACTGAAGAATGCATGGCAGAGGAATGTATGTGTGTGCATGTGCCAAATATCACTCACTCACCACAAAATCTCCAGAACGGTAAAGCCTACAAACTTGAAATTTGGCACATATATTCCTCTTGGCTTCTAGGTGCTTGCTAAGAAAGGGTTTTTTGAAATGACCATCAGATCATTAGTATTTCATATACAGTGTTATATTCACACACTCTGATGCTAAGGAATTAGACATTCTCCTCCCCCTCCCCCTCCCCACCTTAAAAAAACTCTGTTCCAACTGCCAATTGTCTTATATTAACACGCTCTGATGCTACCCCTTCGCTAAACCAGTCATGGGCGTGGCCAGCGCATGACTCATCCGGCCTGTGGGCTGGGTCATTCTACTCCCCCTCCCCCTCTGTTCCAACTGCCAGTTGCCTTATATTAACATGCTCTGATGCTACAGAGTTACACATTCTACATTAAGTTTCAGGCTTTAAATGTCAATTTATCACACCCAGTCACATAGTTTCGTAGCGAAGCACGGGCGTCCAGCTAGTATATATGTATATTTGCATCTTTTATTTCTTTATTTGATTGTTTACCTGAGGTCCTATTGCATCAGTATCATATTTCAATCCATTGGCTTTTGGTTCCAAACTCCTCAGATCTTCAGGTGCTCAGACAGGATGGATTTCACTTTTTTCTTTATCCTGGAAACATCACAAGAGAGAAAAAAAGCATTCAAATATAATTGAATGATACTTTTTCAAAATCTTAATAGGCTCCATAGTTTGCCAACTTCAGAGCCATGATCAACTAATGAGTTGTAATTCCCCATTTCAAATATCTCATATAAGTAAACTATAACCTGTGGGGGTAAGTCACATAAAAAGTACTGATCAGGCCTTGAATTTTAAAACTATAAGGGAGCAGAGAACAGCTCTTTAAGCCTTTGAGCCTAAATGGTAGTCTTTGCGATGCTCTGGAAGATTTGCTAATCCTGAACCCAAAAAGTGCTTGAAGATTCCTTTAAAACCATCCTGTAAATAAATATGGAGGAGTGTTTGGGGAACTAGATCTTGTTGAGGAGGTTTTACCTGGAACAATTTTTTAACAGCTATGTTCCATTTCACTCAAAAGACAGTTTATCAAGGAAAACCAGAATCTTTAATTCTGGTTGGGTAATCAGGCAGCATTGTACCTGGATGGAGATATTCTAATTGAAGTATTGTTGTCAGAGACATGAAATATCCTTTAGTACAATGGTTCCTTTAGTACAATGATGTTTCTAGTATAAAGAAACACTGATATTCCACCTGGACAACTTGAAGATATGTGGACTTCAACTCCCAGAATTTTCCAGCCAGCATACGGTTGAAGTCCACATATCTTCAAACTGCCCAGATTGAGAAACACTGCTTATTTACTATATTGGTCAATTGGGAAAGGTAAGTCTGGAATATGAAGAGGCATAAGGATAGGTGCTTCTACCAAAAAATGAAAAATAAGTGACTTCTGCATTCACACTTTGCTCAGAATTCTAATGTGCCTTGCTTATTTTTGGCTTATGTGTTGTGTGAACTGATCTATTGTGGTTTGTAAATGCAGCCCACTGTAATTCACTCAGCAGACAATGGTTTCAACTGGCAAAACGTATTATCAAGAAATTGTTGAATATTCCCCATTTCCTTTGGAAATGTTGTTTCCAAAGGAATTTTGCTTTCTGAAATTTTAGTAAAACTACCTTGTGTCCTTCCCCATTGTCACAATGGCAGCTAGAAGCTGTTGGTCCAATAATTAGCTGCATTTGCACCTGAAAGGATTGTTGGTCTATTGTTCCATAGTTTATTTGATTATTTGTCTTTTGAATGCACTTAACTATGGACTGTGTCTTCTCTTGGCTATCAAAATGGATATATTTCTTTAATGTTTCAGAATGAGGAAGGGAATAGGGGAAGGTCTGTCAAACCCCAGGCCTTCTCCCTTGGTGCACATTATTAGAGTCTTTTTAGAGACAAGCAAATAATTTTGCTGTCATTGGTCTTGTTCAAATAGACGCTGTTTATTTATGCAATACACTTGGGGAAGGGTGTTGAAGGAAAGATCACCGGCGAGCAGCTGACACAGAAGCACACTCATCTGAAAACATTCTCAAACAATGCCCTGTCAGAGAGGGTTCACTTTAAAAAATATTGCTGATGGCACAGTTTGGGCTTGCTCGCTCTCCTTCACTATGAAGCCAATTTATATTGCTCCGATAGGGCAAGGAGGATGTAAAGTAAGGAAAAATTAGGCTTGTATAATGGGGCACTGCGATCAAACTGCAAAAATGAGACAAGTTGAAAGCCTGGTTTTCAATGGGATAACCGGGACCTGGATCTTCAATCTCTCTCTATCTATCTCCCAATAGAATGGCAAAATGTGTAAGGCACAATTTTGTTGATTTCACATAAACAAGCCTTTGTCAAGATGTGTTGTTTGTAACTCCCAGAATTCCTCAGTGACCAGGACTGGGAATTCTGGGAAGTGAAGTTAATATATTTGGGTAGGATCTAGGCCAGGGAAGATTGACCTGGGTTTTAGTATTTTATTCCAGCTGAGGTGGTGGCCTTATTAGTTAAGATCATGAGTAACTACTTTTATTTGTTGTGGTAATTAAACATCTTTCAAAAATAAAAACAAATGTGTGCTAAGTTTCCCTGCTGCTGTTTGGTATATTAAATTATAGAGGGCTGTTTGTAGTGTGTTTTGTGTGTGTGTGTTATGAGTCATTCAGCAGTCTTTATAATGGCATTTGTGAATGTGTTTCCATGCAAGACACATGTGACAAGAACATGATGGCTAATTTGCACTTTAGAGTTCAGAAACATTTCAAGAAGTTCAGTAAGATCATTTTCAGTCATAACTTCAAGTCCATATTTAGAAAATGCAGGATTGGGAAAATAATAAATAATAATAAATAAATAATAAATAACTTTATTATCATTGTACATGTATACACAGTATACCCATACAACGAAATTCACTTAACACCCAAAGACCAGGTCCAACACACATAACCAGTGGTGGGATTCAAGTAATTTAACAACCGATTCTCTGCCCTAATGATTTCTTCCATCAACCAGTTTGCCAAACTACTCAGAAAGTTAACAACCGGTTCTCCCGAAGTGGTGCGAACTGGCTGAATCCCACCACTGCACATAACAATCCCCAAACACACTCCCACCCACTACAATTCTCCACCCCTAGACCACCCAAACACCCACACAACAGACCAAGTAATACTGTCCAACAGCTCACTGATGGTGGCCCTTTAGTTCATTGTTGAGTGCAATTATAGCTCTATGGATAAAAACTATTCAGAAAATGTGTGGTCCGAGTTTTAATTGTTCTGTATCTTCACCCTCATTATTTTTGTGAAAATGAAATGTAGCCATAAGTTTAAAAAAAGAAAAACTGTGGCTTAATATTTTTAAGATCCTCTAATCCTGAACAGAGGTACCAGGGGACTTTGGTATATAGATCCAGGGTCCCCAAACCATGGGATTTATTAATATTTATTTATTGATTAAATTTATATGCTGCCCATATTGCTATTCAGAGCGACCGAACAATCCTCACATTGGGTTGGTTGATCACATTTTAAAGGAAGTAAAATCATAATTTCAAGAGGGAGGGCATATGATCATTAAGTTCAAAGATCATTACATGACTTAAGTGTGCCACTGGGTCAGATAAAGTTTTTTCAGGGGGATTAGTCTCTCCCACGGGCAAAATTTAAATGACACAAATGTAGAGGATACATTTCATCACAAAGATAAAAATATTATTTGAAGAACCATTATACACAGGTTTCAATAAATCGACATTGACGGAATGCCATTCTTTTTCTTATTCTTACTTTCCAGGCTCTTAGAACTTTAGGATAAATTTCAGTAGACATACTGGATAACGGGCTTTCAGCCTTCTGTCCAACTTCAGCTGAAAAAATAGAGACATTTTATTTATTTATTTATTTATTTATTTATTTATTTATTTATTTATTTATTTTATTTAAATTTGTATACCGCCCTTCTCCTAGTGGACTCAGGGCGGTGCACAGCCAAGTAAAAAACATCCAATACAAAATTTAAAAATTTAAAAGAATTATACCCTTTGGCCAAAAATTTAAGAACCTTACGACTAAAACCCATTAAACAATTAAAAATCTAATATCTCAAAAATGGGGGTGGGGGGGATGGTTCACGCCAGCCCTGCTTGATGGAAGAGAAAAGTTTTTAGGGTATGGCGAAAAGCCCGGAGATCTGATATCCTCCATATCTCCGGGGGCAAATCGTTCCAGAGGGCAGGTGCTGCCACAGAGAAGGCCCTCCCCCTGGGGGTCGCCAGCCGACACTGCCTAGCTGACGGCACCCTGAGGAGTCCCTCTCTGTGGGAGCGTACTGGCCGGTGGGAGGCTATTGGCGGCAGAAGGCGGTCCCGCAAATACCCAGGTCCGATGCCATGGAGCGCTTTAAAGGTGGTAACCAATACCTGGTTTTAATTGATAAGCTCCCAGCTTTACCCTTTTTAAAAATTTAAATCTTTTAAATAGAAAGGACAGATACCCATTATAATGACTAAAAAAAAAAAGCCCACTAGCCTTCCTTCCAGTTTCTCAGATAGAATTATTGTGTTTAAAGAGTAGGTTTTTAAGAGATGTATCATTGGTTTGACTGCAAAGGAGGTGTTTCCTTGTCTTTTCATTAAGAATAAATTCAGCCCAAGGGTGCAGTGTGGCTTGGCAAATAGCATTATAATAGTCAGAGAATGTTGCTTACTGGAAGCCTGAATTAATGATAAAATTTAAAGTATGCAGTGTCCACATAATGCAAGGAGATCATTATGTCTCTCTCTCTCTCTGTATACATGGTACTGAAGATGCAACTGCTAATTATTGTATGAATTTTTAAATGTAAATGTACTGTAAATTTTGTATAGTACTAGTGTGACCTTATAGAGAAGAAGGAAAAGTTGACAGGGGGCCTGTAATTATAAGATGGTGAAGAAATGCTGTAATTATTTACTATTTTTAGGCCCAGTGTGCATAGCCTCTTAATTTGCATAAGCTTTAGACATTCACACGTTTTCTGCCTTAGCTCGGGGATGATAAATTCTTCTTCCTATGAAAGAGGAAGACAGTTTCCACAAGAAGTTGGCCAACTGGGAGCCTGATTATAATGAACAACAAAATTGTTGGTGGCAGCTTTACCAAATAATAATAATAAAATAAAATAAAAGATGGGGAGAGTTTATTTAGATAAAATTGGTTCTAAACCAAGATTCAAAACAACCCCTCCTTTGGATCTTGAAAACTTGCGATTTGCTTTTAGAGAATTGACTAAATTATCATTGTGGCTAAAGCATTAGCTTAATATAAAGTGGGAGGTGGGAAAGGGGAAAAAAACGGGAAGAAAAGCCCGCAGCTCCCCGGTAATCTATTTATCACGTGTAGAGGTTGATTATGACAGTATGTTCTTATTAGGGATGAATATTTTGTGCTCATTAAGCTTACCCCCTTGAGTACGCGAGGATGTAAAGTGTATTTTTTTTTTTTTCAGCAAGTACCATACAATGTAATCTGCTTTTATTGTTTTATGTTTAGCTTCCATTTGCCTTGCTGCTTTTCCTTCTTAGGAAAAAGTAGCCCAGCCCATCTGGAAGCATCAGCTCACCTCCCAAGGAATATAGATAAAGCAATGCTTGAATGGTGAGAAACTACTAGAGTCTTTGGGACAGAGAAAGAGAGAACTGTCCTGGCCAGTAGTGGGTTTCAAATCCCGTCGCTACCGGTTTGCTCGTGGGCATGTGCGTGTGTTCGCGCAATGCTTCTACACATACGCAGAGACATCCGGGCGCGTGGGCGGAGCCTCCTGCCGCCACTACTGGTTTGCCTGATCTGGGGCGAACTGGTAGCAACCGACCACTGGTCCTGGCCCCACAAGATAGAAAGGGTCCAGTGCAAAATAGGGACCAGAGTTTCAAATAACCAATTAGATGGATTCCTTTCCAAATGGGCAGTCACACTCATCACTTAAAATATAATTCCGAGGGATATTTTGCTTTTCCCAGTTGCATCCCACTTAATGCACTATCAATGGATTAAAATTTAGACAGAGAGGAAAAAATACTGCTATTGTAGCATTGGGTGCAATGAGAACAAAGGAGAGGGTCAAGCATTTTCTGCTCTGTAGGTTCTTTCAAGACTAGATTTATTACTTACTTTATCTCTAAATTACCTTTTGGTTTTGTCACTTGCTTTCAGATGATTGGCGTGAACAGTGCTGAAATTGTTGAGATGGACAAAATGAATAAAACAGGCCCTCAAAGGGCTCCCGAACTCTTTGTACTGTAAAATGATGACAGTGGTTCAAAATAAGCAAATATAAAGTTGAAAGACTATTTCTAACTTTACAAACTATATGCTCCTGATGTCTGAGAAAAGATCTTCAGGTTGTGGTGGTGGACAATAAAGTTACTTGTTTGTTTATCATTACAGTTCTCTATGACTTCCAGAATAAGATGTAGCATGACCCTGAATACTACTTGCTGAAAAAGTCATGAGAGTTGGAGTTATGTCTGGCTTGTTGGATTCTCATAGAATTCTTTAGCTATAGAAGAAGCATCATTCTATATATTTAGATCTTTTTAAAAAAGGATTATTTGCATGCACATGTGTTCAATTTTGATAAAGTTTCCCATGTCACAGGATGTAGATATAGTATTATCCTCCTCGGGAAACACAGAGTTCATCCCTATATATGCCTAATCAAAAGTCTGTCCCAAAGAGTTCAGTGGAGCTTAAGGTGAGCTGATATTGTGAAATGCATTATGAGGTATTATTTGAATTAAAATTTAAGTTGGATTAATAGAAGAGTAATTGTTTTGATTAAGTTAATATGAATAAACTCTCTATAAAATGGTAATAGTTGAGATATGTGATTTAAGATTAAGAAATAAATGTTATGGCAAAAATAGAATATATAAAATTTTGTTAAAGTTGACAAAAAATTGAAAAAATGTATGACCGGATCAATTCTGAAAAGTTCTGAAAAGATGTATTGTATATTCCTGTGTTAAAAAAAAATAAATAAAAATTCTGCAAAAAAAAAAAAAAAGGTGAGCTGATGTAGGATTGCTGCTGAAAGTACCACAGATCAGTATATATTTTAGGAGAATAAAATATATTTTATTGATTAGCTTAAGTTCCGCTAATTTGTGTAAGGGTAAGTTTCACCTTCAATGCCCTTTTTCACTGCAGTTTTAACCAAGAAAACCTATAATATGTAATATTCAGTTGGCTGACAATTCTGATATCTTAGTGTTATGTGCTTGTTGTAATTTAAAGAGTTTCCCCCTCTAATTACACAAATAATTTTCTATCATATATGGGTCAACACTTGAAATTGGAAGTTCTGCCATCCAAACTGAAGCTCACCCTTCCAGTGTGAGTTAAATCTAAAGGGCCTTATTGAAAGTCAGTAGAGGGGATGCGTAAAAAATGATGCTATACTTGATGCAGATTCCTGGGAATCCTCAGTCACCTGTCATGCTGTCATATCATTTGAATAGAATAATCATATTTATGGCCCCCTTCAGTTTTATGATTCTATGATATTTTCTGATCCTTTGAAGGTGCTCTTTCCATTGCAATGCTTGTTTGCTAGTTTCACCCATGCCTAATATTTTTTCCCCCATTAATAAAGCTAGCTCTGATCTTTTATGATCTAAGCTTGTATATTTACCAATGTTTTAGGCTACCCACTGATTTTTGGAAACATCAATCCAGCACACACAAAACACACACAAAACACACACATACAGATAGAAAGGGCAGAACATAATTGTTATTATTTTTATCATTGTTATGATTCTATCTTTCACAATAGTTGCTGAACAAACATTATTCAAATTTGAAACAAGTAAGAGGTGAGGAAACATTCAACAAAGGCTGACTCTGGAGAAAATCTGGACTGTATTTCATTACACTGGATGATGTTTTGAGTGGGGTTCATTCATCTAAAAAGGTGGCTTTCTAAAGCAGTTAAATCAGTGATAGCTACAGATCTTAGGAAATAGGATATTAGGGAACATCTTAGAAATGTTTTGAAAATTATCTCTTTTGCTGTTTTTTCCCCTTGGATTTCACCTTTTGGGCTAGAAGCCAGAATTGTAACTTGCTTAGCAGCAAGGCAGTTTATTTCTAATTTATATTTTCTACATTTTGCACTTCAATTAAACAAGATTTGAATCTTTTCCTGTCTTGTTTGAACCATATCTGTCTTGTTCTGTTGATCAAATCTTTATTATAGTCACAGACTAAAAGTATGAAAAGCCAGAAGATGTAAAAGATACATGCATTACTTGTACAGTATTAAAACAAAGAGTATATATAAAAATATACTATATTTTTAAAAATCTGAAAGAAAGGGTAGGATCATCACATAGGAATTAGATGTCTTGCTCCCATTCTGCACTATTGGGTGGAACAACAATGAATATGTTTCACAACAACAAGATCAAATGGGAGAAATGCATGGCAATAACCAGCATATAGATTATGTATTCTGTCTAATCTGTATAATTTTTATAGGATCCTTATTTTCTCAATGGATAGGTTAGTTTTGACTGGGCATAATTACTATGTGCAAATAAAAGTCAAACAAATTCTTCTCTTACCATCCAATTCATCATGTTTCAGGACACTTATTGGGATATTAATCAAGAAATAGGACAACAAGAATCCAGTAAACCTGTAAAGTTTAAATTTGCAGCTGAGGAAATATTTAGAAAGGTTTCTGTTTCTGTGTTGGGTTTATAGGATTGCTATCCAAACATCTTCCTTTAGCCTGGAAAATAATCATAGGGAAAAACTGTAACTCAGAGCATCATTGTAATGTGCTACATTGCACCCACAGCCGTGTTGACAGTGCAAATTATTTTGGGCAAGAACAACAGCGGTCTATGTAATGCAAACTGATTGCATGCAGCTGATTGGATTTCATCTAACAATCCTTCAGATCCACAGAAACACACGATGAACATCTAGTACGTTTAATCCCTTTGTGTATTTTCGGAATGCTGCTTTCGTGGGCCATATGATGGAAGGAGAAGCTTTATCAGACTCTCTGGTTGGGCGCAAAGGACATCATTCAATTTTTTAAAAAATTCACATGCAGTCTACTCTTATTGCTTGTTAAAAGGTCTGCCACCCTGTGTGCAAGCAGGCTTATAGCAACCGTAGGCTAAGATGCCTTATTTATTCAAATTGAGTGGGCAATGGGAATTGGACCCAGGTAATTGCTTTTTTTTTTTTTTTTTTTGAACCAAACGCAATGAAATCAACACAGTGATGCCATTGCAGATTTATATGGAATTTGCATTTCCATACTTCTTTTAAAACTTGAGATTTTGGGTGACAGGATTGGCCAAAAAAAAAAAATAGTCAGATTTTTCTATTATTGAATAGACAAAGGAAAAGAACTTGACTTCGTTGCTCTTTGTTCTTAATGTTGCTGTTATTGCTTTAATCCAATATTTGAAATGCATGCATGCGTAATTAAATTAAATGGGACAAATCTGTATCCATCCTCTTTCTTAATAGGGAGCTTGCAATATTTTATCAGGGAAGCTACTGCACCAATTTGATCGATAGTTCCTGGATCATATTACAACTCAATCAACAGATGTGTTGTTAAGGCATATTGGTGGCACCTTAGTCACAAGTATCCTTTCATTTCTGTTAGAATTCAACAAACAAGGTGATAACAGAACTATAAATGCATACAATATGCGTTATACATTTATATAATAAATATTGTTTGAAAATTCTATGATATTTTCCTTCCTTCCTTCCTTCCTTCCTTCCTTCCTTCCTTCCTTCCTTCCTTCCTTCCTCACAAGTAACGACAGCAAAGACATTTCATACCCTTCGCGTGTAGTGAATAACAAATACAAAGCATTTTTGCTGTCAAAGTTGCAGTTCAGAAGTTGTATCTGAATATAGTGGGCCTCCGTATTGCTTTTATTTCACAAACAGAATTAATAGCCAAGTTCTATCTATCCTTAACAGGAAAAAAAGCACCTGGTATTTTTAAAGTTTTTGTGTAGTTACAGTTACAAATATTTTATCTCAGCACATCAGAAGAGAACAAAACACCTCTACTGTCTGCCTGATTGTACATGAACTACTAGTACAGCCAACACTGCCTGTCATTTTTTTTCTTACATATATGTTCCCTTTCATAAAAAGAAATATATTCCACCCCTGCCTACTGAGATGGATACCAGGCGCTGAGTAAGCTTCTTTTCTTAAACAAGGCATCAAAAAAAGATATTACAATCCAGTGATGTTCTCTACAATAGTCAAAGGTTGCACAATTTCTGACCCACAATGTAGACTGTAACCCATCAACAACAGCATATGAAGGCCTGCCAAGGATTTCCAAAGACTGTTACTAACTTTGTTTTGGTAATCAACAATAATAAATGTATTAAAATTTTGGTGAGTCAGAAAAAAGCTGAGTTTAGATTTTTAGAAGTTGGAAAAGCTTGAAGAAATCTAGAAGATCCACATTCATACAGAATATCCGACCGTAGGTGCCATCTAGTCCCTTGTAGCATGCAAGAATTCTAGAGCCATTCTAGAATTCTAGAGCTATTTCTCATCCTATAATCCAGGTATTCCTCCAGAATCCCATAATTGCTGAAATCTCACATGTTTGAAGCAGAATCGTGCAAGACTTCAGGTTTGGGCATTCTTGTGCTAGATTCGAAATCATTCAGGATATTAGCGATGGGAAATCACTCTATGTCAGTCTATTGGAGGATTAGTCTAATGCTCATAAAACTGCTTGAAATCTCTCGCTGCATTTGTTTAAAGGCCCTTTTCACTGAAGTCTTCAAGCTGAAATTAGATACTGTAGTAACCTGTGAAAGATGTAGCAGCAGAATCCAACTACTCGTAGAGCAAAAGAAAATGGCTGCCCAAACTCCTTTCAACTCTGTGATTCTGTGTAAGATAGATAGTGATTCATTTGAATAGATTTTGCTTCATTTAATCTCCATTGTTTTAAAGGACAGTTGTTCCCAATGCTGTGCTTTTTGGGTTTCTATTCAAATGAAGAAATGCTTGCTGGTAGCAAAAAGCATGATTTCTCCTGCTTTGGTGCCAATGTATTTTTACCTTCTTATGAGAATCTTGAATCTCAGTAAAGGAAGCTATCTCAGGTTTGGCTTTCAGGAATTATAGGCAGGTCTTTTCCCAACCTACCTGGAAATGCTGAGGCTTGAAGCTGGAACCTTGGCTTGCAAAACGGACATCATACTTCTAGGTCACAACAAATCTCCTCTGAAAGGTGTCTTGTGTTTCAGAATGCTCGTTCTCCAAAATGCTGGGAGAGAGAGAGTAGTATTAATTTCATTTCTGTGAAGGACCAACCCTAATAGGAAGTCAGAGGATTCCATAGCCTGCTTTCTTCTGGACCCATCTGCCAATGTCATCAAGCTACCTTAGAATTTCCATCTAGTCTGTGCTACCTATTGCAGTCTGTTCAGATCTTGCGTGCTGGTGACTACTACTAATACGTCAGTCATGCTTTAATTAGATGCTCAGCTGTTGTTTTGAGAAGACAAACATGAGTAAGAAGTCTACTAAAGAATAACCAGAAGTACATTTTCAAATTCATTTCAAGTCTAACCGATTTACAGAAAAATGTAAAGGAACTAACATTAAAAAGGAAGAATTTGTGGGATCAGCTGCTTTTCCTTACCATACGTTTCAATTTTTTTGCTTCTTTGGTTACAGAATGGTCTGAAGGAAGCAGATTATTTGACTGTGTCACCAGTATTGTTAATTTTTACCATTAATTTTACTTATGGACCTTATCTTTATATCATACTCAATAGTTTAGAGAAGGAAAAGGGAAAGAAGTGGAGTTTTAATGATACCAGTTTTTTTACATAGAATTTGTAGCTTTGTGTGCAGCCCAAATACATTATCAGGAAGTATAATAAAAATTACTAATATTTAGAAATATTTAAGGAACATAGAGCCATTTATTGAATGGAAGGAAGGAAGAAAAAGGAGATAAAGAATTGGCACTAAGAAAATCTTTCCCATGGAAGAGTGGTACAAAATTCATTCTCAATTATTTTCCAAGCGCATCACCCTCCCTTATCGGCTAACAGAGCCACAAGGCATGATGCCAAAGGAGTTAACAGTCTGGCAGGTTTTTTTGTTTTGAAAAAAATAATTCTGATCCAAAGAATGTGTGACAGGCCTTTTGCACCATATGGTGCCCAAGAGTTAATCCGGGGAAGGAGGGTGGACACCTAGGGAGACTTATGTTGAAATGCCATTTAGAAGAGAAACATGAACTTGTGATGGCAAAAGTCCAGAAGTCTAAACAAGCAAGGCTAGGGAGCCAAGAGGCAGGAACTAAGGGAGGGAGACATAGGATAACAACTGCATTTCGGAAAGCTTATCAGAATTTAGTTCCTTAGCTTTGCTTTCTTCACTGCACTCCTGGAAAGGAACAACCTTGTTACCAAACTGCAGATTATATTACTCCGAGAGGAGAGGCTCCAACTGGCGTCAGTTCACCCTGATCTGGTCACCTCATTACGGGTTGGGATATGGGGCTCAGCAGTTGGTCAGAGGACGGTAGATTTTTTCCTTATGAGATTGACAGCACACTCGCCTGGCAGCTCAGTTTGATGGGTTGATTGGCCCTGAAAGCACCACTACTCTGTCAGCTTTTAAAAGAAGCAAATTGAGCTTGTATCAGTGGACTCCTCTGAACACCAGACTCTGTGCGAGTTAGTTTTGCGTTCAACCTGGCTGGAAGCCAGCACTGACCCAACTGGGAAAGAGGGCTCTTTACATCAGATCCGGGTTCTGCAGAGGCAGGTTTCCCTGGCACATTGACAGGGCAATTGACCTAACTGGAAATAGGAGTTTTCATCTGGCTTCTTTAAGCAATGAACCTAAGCTGGGTAGCTTTTTGGGAGAATGTATTAATGTATCTAAGCAAATTTAGGGGAACAACTTTATGTTTACAAGATGATGGTGTAATATTGAATGGCAGACCAGAGCTCTTACAAACAAAGAGACGTATGTGGATCACTTGTGGGGTGGCACATCCCTTTCAATTCCCCCCCCCCAAATAACTACTGGATATCTAACAATAACTAAATAAGTATTTTCCTAAAAATAAAAGGCTGTCATTTTTCATGTAAAGAGAAATAAAGAGGTGTGCCCTTGAAGGCAGTATTGAAATGGGGACAACTCTCGTAATCCTTAAGCAAAGCCTCATAAGCAAATGATTTTTGATTTCATAGAAAATGATTATGTATATATCCATAATCTAAAACAAGATGGAGTGATGACATCAGCAAGTATTGTGGGCCAACTGGCAAAGGAAATCTCAAGACTTTATTGGTTGCAAACATGCAGAAGAGGCCTTCATCCTGCAGTGGATAGACTACAATGATGATGAAGATATTTATATGTATGTATGTGTATGTGTATGCAAGTCTTGGTGTATTCAGGTCTTTTCCCGTGTAAGATTGAGAGTATCTTGGCGACATTTCAACAAGATCCCACTCGACATCTTCAGGCTGGTGTCTTCGGCTTCGTGCATGTGCGAGCAAAGCGTGATTGGAGATGCCGTATCTCTATAAATACTGGTGGGGAGGTGTGGAGTGCTGGCTTTGTTGTTGTAAGCGGGTTGGTTGGTTGTGTTGTTACATCTTGATTAGTTGATGGAGTTGATGTTTGCAGTTTAGTCGGCTGTTTCGTAACATCCTGTGTGGCCGAGGTCCTATCTGTGTGCCTATTAGGTTTTTGTGTTGTAACAACCTGGGTAATAGGCTGTGTGGCAGCATCCTGAGCTCCAGTGTTGTGACATCCTGAATCTTATGCTGCAACATCCTGGGTAGTTGGCTGTGTTGTAACATCCTGAGCTTTAGTGTTGTAACATCCTGAGTTCTGTGATGTATTGTCTTGAGCAGATGGCTGTGATGCAACATCCCGGGCTTTGGTTTGGCTCCAAGTCTGAGATCTTGTCATGTGCTCATGGTGTGTGTTAGTTTGCTTTGTGTGGGGATCGGAGGAGGGCGCAGCAGCTGGTGATGCCGCCGCGGTCCGGCACCTGGACGGTGGCTGCATTTGTATGTGTATGTATATGTGTATGTGACGGTGTATCTATATGTGTATATATGTATAAAACAAAGATCCTCTTTGTACATAGATACTCTTTTCTTTCTCAGTCTTTCAATCTTTCTGTCCTACCTCCACCACCACTACCCTCTTTCTCTCACACAACACATACACACCACACAGCATCTTATGGAATGAGTACAGATTGCAGCCAGCATTTGGTTGATTGATTGATTTACTATATTTGTATGCTGCTCATACAAAGTTCTGACTGGCTAACGAACAGAAACATCAAGCAAGAGGCCCTCCATAAAAACCAAATAAGCCCACTGAAATTATCATCTCAATGCCAAGAGAACAACATATACGGGCCTGTGTTCACCAATGTACCTCAATATTCCTCATGGGCTAGATGGAATAGTTAGGTCTTAATTGCTCTCCTGAAGCCCAGAAGGTCTGTCAAATCCTATCTTGGATTTGTGGATAGATGGGACCTGGAGGAAGTTGACCCTGTTCAAAATGATTGGATGAAAAGTCCTAGAGATAAGTGGATCTGGAATCACATTGGGCCTCAAAGGTGACAATCAGTACCTTGAACTGTACCCGGAAGCCAACCAGTAGTCAATGGAACTCCAGAGCAGAGAGGTCATCGGAGTGTAACTGCGAACACCCATCACTGCTCAGGCTGCCACATATGACCCAGCTGCAGCTTACAAATACTTTCCAAGGGCAGCCCCATGTTAACTGGTGTGTTAACAGTTGTCAAATACAATTATCTATGTTTTTGAAATTCTGGGGAAAGATTGCCGTAATGCACTCTACAATGGGATGCCTATGAAGAGAAATGGTGTAGCTTGCCAGTTGATGAATATTGGAAAGGAAGAACCATATTCAGCCAGGTCTTTGGCATCGCCTTAGCCTCAATTCAGGACCACAGAACAAAGGCTTACGAACAATTTTGCTTCCACTCTCCCTGTAGGAATAGCACTATTAGTAGCAATATGATCAGCTCATTTTAACTTACCCTGAATGGATATATTCAGTTGCTAGGAGAAACTGACATTTTGGAATGATCTTTCCCAGGAGGTTAAAAACAGCATTTCCCTTGATAGCTATGCCGAAGTCTGTTAAATTATCTTGTTCTTATAGACATGGTAGTCCTTTGGGTTCACAGAAGACACTCTGTTGAGAAGCTCATTTGTGGACACAGAGTGGCTCTGCAGTCTCAGTCTGGAAGGCAGAGTCTAGCACAATTGAGGCACTGGAAGACGGTTGTTGTAATAACTGTGGGTGTTATTCTGTGATGCTGCTCATTGTTTTCTGTCAGTTTTTGGCAGTGCTTGTCTTCAAAGCTGGCGGTGGCTTCATAGCACAGGCCTTGCCTACAGGTTGTGCTGCAGCTGCAACATCTACCTCAGTGGTGGGTTTCAAAATTTTTTACTACCAGTTCTGTGGGTGTGGCTTGGTGGGTGTGGCATGGCTTGGTGGGTGTGGCAGGGGAAGGATACTGCAAAATCCCCATTTCCTCACAATCAGCTGGGACTTGGGAGGCAGAGAATAGATGGGGGCGGGGCCAGTCAGAATTTTTACTACCAGTTCTCCGAACTACTCAAAATTTCCGCTACCGGTTCTCCAGAACTGGTCAGAAACTGCTGAAATCCACCTCTGGTCTAGCTGGATGTCATAGTAGTGTAGGGTTTCTTTCACCGTATCTTTGTAGCACTTGCAACCTTGAAGTCTCAACCCAGACTTCAATACACTACAGAGTGAATGGTGAGGCACACAGAGATCTTCTATTCTGATGATGTGTCCCACCCATCTCATCTGGGTTGTGATAATCAGGGTGTCAAGGTTCCAAATAATAGCCCCATAGAAAGCAGAACTCCGAGGCAGATAGATTCCTCAAAGAACAGTTTTATTGGAGATATCATATTGGCACAAACTGGTGAAAACCGACTCTGAAAGTTCCCACGGTTTTCACCTGATTAAAAAGTGAAAGTTTCCCCTTTCCCCAATCAGTCATGTTGTCCAATCAAGGTGCTGGTTGGTTGTCTGGTTACTTCACCCCTCCTTGTCCAGCCACCTGTTTGAATGTCCTCAGTTCCCACAGGAAACTATTTTGCTTTGGCTACAAAAACCCCATCTAACCGTGCTCCCCTTCCCTATCCCTTTGCATTGTGGCAATCCTGAAGCCTCCAAATGCCTAGGGTAGGCATTAAGGCTGCTGATGTT